ACTTCATCGCCAAACTATCTCTTAATTTTTGTAACTATATCATTAATTAACATATACTATATAAATATATTCAATAGTAAATAATATTTTTGAAAAATAGGACCGGTCAAACACGATTCGACTTTTATGGGCCCGAACCCTGCCCGAAAATTTTCGAACTTATTTTTTAGGTTCAAATATATATATTTTTTTTGTGCCGAGTTCGGACTGAGGTTTTGTGCCATGTCTATTTTTGTCATCCCAAATATAAATACGGCCATGTTCAGTGCATGATAATGAACAAACCTGTGTTAGATGTTTGGATTGCCGTGTAACCTTTCCGAATTATCCAATACGGATTTAATCCCTATCAGCCACTATGGAGTTAAAATTAATAAATTTTAATTTAAATGAGATCAAAATTAATAGAAAAATTTCAGTAAAATCAAAATTGATAATTATAATTATATAATGAGATAAAAATAATTTTTACTCTAAAAAATACTCCCTCGGTCCACACATAAGGTATACAATTATTTTTGGCGCGATTTTTATAAAATAATAGTATTTTAATTAGAGTAGATAGTTAAAGGTAGTGTAATGACATTTTTGTCTTTACTTTTTTGTGTAAAAATAATGATGTGATATAAAATATGAGTATTTGAGAAAGAAATAAAATATTTAATGAAATATTTACTTTGTAATTGAACGTTCTAGTATAACCGACAGAATATTAAAATACTGGAGTGGAATCAATGGAGACACGCGTGTCGTTGAATTGACCAAAGTTCCAAAACACTAATCATTTCACACCTTCCACGCTCGCATCATTATTATTATTATTATTATTATTATTATTATTATTATTTCACACCTTCTATATAATATGGATTTATTACTGTAAATACGAAAATTTAAGTAAAGTATAATTAGTAAACAGTTAAGAAATATATTAGTGAAAATAATTATTATTTAGTAAAAATAATTATAAATTATGATTAAGATAACTAAATAGTTTAATTAAAATTTAAAAAAAAAATTAAATTTTATATTTTAAAATATGATTAAAGTGTATAATTAATTTTTCAAAAAAAGAAAGAACAAATTATGTGAGACGGACAAAAATAAAAAATAGAAATAAATTATGTGGGACGAAGGGAGTATTATATTTAAATTAAGTTAAAAAAAATTATTTCCTCCATTGAAACCTATGTTTTTTGTGCTGTGAAGTATTAAAAAAATATTCAACACGAGATTTAAAAAATATTGATATTATATTGATAGTGGGTAAAAAAATACATGTAAAAGATTTTTTTTACCTTTACGAGTGTATTAGTGTAAAAAGTAATGACAATTATGTAATAATAATGAAAAAATAATCATAGTTTTATAGTGATATGGTTATTTATGAAAATGAGATTATTATTTTGGAATGAACAAAAATAGTAAACATCACTATTGTATTGGAACGAAAGAAGTAGTTTTTATATTCTAGCAAAAAACATATATCACATTTTTTGTATTTTTTATTATAAAATAGAAAATAATTATTATTACTACATATTTATTAAAATAAATGCCTAAATATTTTAGCACATAATTAGATAGAGTATCATTTATTTGTACTCCCTCTCCTACAATGATTATATCAGTTTATTTATTGTGAGTTAAATTCATATATAATTCATTTATAATAAAAATAAAAAATTATTTTACTTATAATTCTATTGTACTTTAGATTTCTTACACAATTATGTATTTATCATATAAAAAATAATATCTTAAAATTATTCATTTCGTCCATTGACAATTTATCTATTTTTTTTTTATTTTGATTTGTTTCATAATAAAGTATTAATTTTTTTTTAATAACTATATTATTTACTTAACATTATAAATACAATTTCAATTTATAATATATTACACAAATGTCATTACATTTATATCATACAATACTAATAAAAATAGTTTAATACTTTTTATATTTATTTCTACTATATCTCAATATAATATTAATATTTTTAAAATTATATAAAAAAAGTAAATTGATAGATAGATATGAAACGAAAGGAGTATTTCACAAAATAAATACAATTTAAAAGTGCATAAAACATATTTATATACTAAATTGTAAATAATATAAATAGGAAATAATATACATACAAAAATTGTAAATTATTATTTTTATAAATTTTTTAAGTTTGTTTGATTGTGAATTGAAATTAATTTGAAGGTGAGTATTAATTTAAATTTTTTATTCAAATAGTATTTTTATTTAATATTTTATAAAAAGAATTAACATATCTTTTAGAGTCCTACAAATTAAATATATTAATTTTGTTTGAAATTACAAGCAAATACCAAATAAAAGAAATGCATTATTAAATAGTGTTTATTTAGTTTCGGTTTTAATTTAAATATATTTAAAATATATGTATAAAAAATAATTATTAAAAAATACTCTCTCTGTCCTACAAAGTATTTTAGAAGGGGTGTAATTAGTAGATAATTAAGAATGTATTAGTGAAAATAATTATCCTATAATATAAATAATTATAAATTAAGATTAAAATAACTAATTAGTTTAATTAAAATTTTAAAAAAATAAAATTAAAAAGTTTAAAATAGATTAAGGTGTATAATCATTTTCCAATAAAGGAAAGTGACATGGTATGTGAGACGGACAGAAACGGCAACGTGGACATGATATGTGGGACGGGGAGAGAGAATATGTATATATAGCATAGAAAAGATTAAAGAAAAAAATAATAATACTACTAATAATAATTTTAGTGTAGATTTTTTTTCTAATAAAAATGTATTAATATTTTTTATTTCAAAAAAATATAATAGAATATTTACAATATATGGTCACTAATGCTATTATAATTGTTATTTTGTAATTTCTCCGTCAAATTTTAAGGGTCTCATTTACCTTTTGCATCATTGTATTTAACATTAAAAATATTTTTATATTTGTATAAATTTTTGTATAAATATTATTATAATAGTATTATAAGACACTAATAGAAGTATTTTTGCTTATTTCCCTTGATTTGTACTATATTTTTTATAAAATAATTAATATTCAAACATCAACACGCAATAAGTAAATGAAAATTTTAGAGTCGGACGGAAGTAGTAATATTTTCAAATTATAATAATTGGAAGAATAAAATTATTTGGACAATAAATAGACATATAAATATATTTATTTCGTCCCGAAATAATAATTTCATTTTATATTTTAGTTCGTTCCAAAACAAAAGTCATATTTTCATAAATAATCATGTCACCATAATTTATTTCTATTTTTTTAGTACTTTTTAAACAAATATACTAACAAGAATATTTAAATCTTTTACTATCTACTTTATACTGATTGTTATTTCTTAAATCTCGTGCCGAATTCAAATGTTCCTATTGTTTCTTGAGGGTGTGTTTGTTTGGGGGTTTGAATTTTGAGTTGGGATTTGAATAGTAAAAATTTTGAATTTAAATAGCTGTATGATGTGATATAAATAGGTGTTGATGTGATGTTTTGAATGTAAAATTGATTTTTAGTAAAATATAAAAAATAAAAAATAGGTGTTTAATTTGATATTTTTTGGGGAAAAAATGGAATGAATAGTGAAAATTAAATCCAATCCCCCAAACAAACACACAGGATGGAGGATTATCTTGTTAATTTAATAATACATATAATATATACTTTATTATTTAGAAAAATTAATAATTCACTAAAATTTATATATATATTAAATATAATTACTTATACTTAATATAAAATAATAATAAATTCATCAAAAAAAATAATATGAATGTAAAATTGATTTTTAGTATAATATAAAAAATAAAAATAAATATTTGATTTGATATTTTGGGGAAAAAAAATAATTTGTGTAAATAGTAGAAATCTACCAAAATCATTCAAACAAATACAGAATTCATATATTTAGCTTCAAATTCTATGTGCTCATCTTAATCTCAAACCAATTAATCGCGATATTTTTGGCTTCTGATTTATTGCGGTTTATTCGAACGCGAGACAAATCCGAACATTTTTTTGAATAAGTCGGAGAACCCAATTTGACATCGATTCCGACGGAATCAAATCGATTAGGTCATAGATGTCTATTTATGCATTGGAGACATTCCCTGAGCGTCCGTAGCTGAATCGATGATAATAGTTAAATATTAAAATTTTTATTTTTATCAAAATTAATAATATGATAATTTTAAAACATATATGAAGAAAAAGAAAATTAATAATATGATAATTTTAAAACATATATGAAGAAAAAGAAAAGACGAATAAGTTTGACGGACATATGAAATATTTTGTGTTAATTTGTTAATTTTTTTAATAGATAAATATATACAACATATTCTGTAAATATATATATATATTACTCAATTCGTCCGAGATAATTATGTCACTTCTTTTTTGGTTGTCCGCTAAATTTATGTATATATATTACTATTTATCAATTTTTCAAGTAAAAAATATCAAATCAAAAACATATTCTTTCATATTTTATATTATACAAAAAATTAATTTTATATTTAAAATATCACATCAATATTTATTTACATCTCATGATATAATCATTCAAATTTAATACTCCTCAGTCCCTATACAATAGTCTTGTTTACCATTTTTGTTCGTACCAAAATAATAGTCTTATTTCCATAAATAACCATATTACAATAAAATTACCCCTACTATTTTATTTTTATTACACAATTGCCACTATTTTTTACACTAATACACTCACAATGACAAAAAAACCTTTTATTCGTACTTTTTGTCCACTACCAATATAATATTAATATTTTTTAAATCTCGTGTTTAACCTAATTAAGATTATATTTATAGGAGAGAGGGAGGAAGTACGTTACTATTCAAATTTCAAACCAAAATTCAAACAATCCAAACAAACACAACCTTAAAAAGGTTTCTCACAAACCCCACCCAACCCTAACAGCTAATTAATACCTCTCTCTCTCCTCCCAAGCAATCGAAACTTTGTTATATGCAATCGGAATCTTACTCCGGCGACCGGATGTCAGCCGGCGGCGACGAAATTCCGGCGATGAAGCAGAGATCGTCGTCGGAGAATCATAGAGAGGCTGAGAGGAAACGAAGGCACAGAATCAACGCCCATCTTCACACTCTCAGAACTCTTCTCACCTCCACCAATTCTAAAGTAAGTTTTTTTTTTTTTTTTTAATTTACTTATTATATATATATATATAAATATATTACATTACAACAACTAATTTATTAATTAATTGTATCATAAATTAATTTTAATTATTATTTGATTAAATAATTCCGATTGTGACGACATCGATTTATGCTTGTCGTTGATTAATGCTCATAAGATTTATACTTTCCTCCGTCCCAGATACCATGGACATATTGCTGTTTTTGTCCGTCCCACGTGCCATGTCATTTTCCTTTTTTGGAAAATGATTACACACTTTAATCTCATTTTAAATTTTTTTAAATTTTAATTAAACTAATTAGTTATCTTAATCTTAATTTATAATTATTTATATTATATGATAATTATTTTCACTAATACATTTTTAATTATCTACTAATTACACTCCTCCTAAAATACCGTGTCTACCGTGTAGCAGACACTGTATATAGGACCGAGGGAGTAAATAGGAAGATAAATAATCTTTAATTAGTGAAATAGTTTAAATATATATATATGTTAAACATAAAAAAAATTTTAAAAAAAATACAAAATTACAAGTATGTGTAATATATAATTTTTTTAAAAAAAATAAATATATTTTTGAAAAAATGTATTTTTTACAAAGAACACACCTAAGTGTCAGAAAAATAAATGGATTGCAAATATATTATATATATCTAAAGGTGTATATGATTTTTATTTTTTGATTCAATAATGTAAAATTTGGAAGAGAAAATAATAAATTTTTACAAATCACAATAATTATATAATAAGAAATTAAAGCAAAATTTCAAAAGAAAACACCCGAATTTAATTTTGTGTTACATGATTTAAGTTATTCATTTTGTATTTTTGAATGAATGTGTTTTTTTTTTTTTTTTTCTAAAGTTAGACATTAAAAATCGTATTGATAATATAAAAATATACTTATATTGAATTGATGATTTTTTGTTAGTAAATAAAAAAATATATATTATTGTGTTAATATGTATATATATATATTTTATATTTATAAAAAATTGTGTCATTTTAAAAAAATATTAAATGAACAAACCCGACAAAGATTGTAAAGAAAAAAAAAATCATACAGGCTCTATTGTTTTGGATTTAAGTTTTTTTTTAATAGATTTTAGAGATGATTTTTTTTTTTTTTTAATTGGAAAAAGATAAGGCTTCATTTACATACTAATTTTGGATTTTTTATTTTATACATATTTTTAGAAAATAACATTAAATATTTATTTTAATTTAAAATATTTTATAAAATGTATTCACTCCGCCGCAAGAGTATATATTTTCTACTTTTTGCACTATTTATATATAATATCAATTTTAGGAAAAATATATTTTTCAATATATATTTTATATTATAAATATAATAGAAAATATTTACATTTTACTATTTAAAATAATTTTTAAAAACCTCTAACTAAATGAAGTTTTGATTCTAAGTAAAAAATATAAAAATAATTGTGTTTGGTTTTATTATTATTATTATTATTATTATTATTATTATTATTATTATTATATCATACAAATATGCTATTCCCAATAAAAGTATATATTATAATTTTTATATAAAATATCAAATATAATAACAATTTCATTTGACTTTATTTACAAAATAATTATATATCTAATGATATGTTTGTAATTTAATTAAAAGTTACGAGTATTTTGATATTAGTATATGAATATTTTTTCTAATATAAAAAATGAATAATTTTGAATGAAATAAACGAAAATAGTAAAAAAAATATTTTGAATTAGAATCAAATAAGTATATATATGAAAAGAGAGAGTCTAAGATCATAATGATATTGTTTAATAATAGACAGACAAAGCTTCACTGCTCGCAAAGGTTGTCGAAAGCATGAAAGAATTAACACAACAAACATCGGAGATCGCAAAATCAGGATTCACATTTCCATCCGAGGCGGATGAATTGACCGTGCGCCAAAGTCAAACCCAGGTCATTGATGGTAAATTGTTCATTGAGGCAACCCTTTGTTGTGAGGATAGAGTTGACCTCATACCCGATTTGATCGAGACCCTCCGGACATTGCCTCTAACCTTAGTGAGCGCAAAACTTGCGACATTAGGAGGTAGAATCAAGAATGTAATAGTACTCGTTGGAGAAAATAAGGATAAAGATCGAATAGATCATTTAGTTTCGACATTGAGAGATGTCTTAAGGACTAATGTCCTAAAATCGGGCTTTGGCGATGGAGGAAGGAGCAAAAGACGTAGAATGTTCGATCCGACGGCGGAGATTTATGGATTGAATAAATAGTGACCGTTGGATGTTTTAATGTACATGCTTTTTATCGTATTAGATTGTATGTTAAATTTTCATTTGTGTTGGTACAAAAAATACGACACTTTGATTATTAGCGTTTTCGATGTTATTTTTACTATTTACTAAAAAGGATTTTGAAAAAAAATATTTCAACATATATTTTCAAAAAACATTAATCTATTATATATTCTTTATTTTTATATTAGCTATACAATTTCGAATAGCTCACATAAAAAAAAAATATCGAAACACAAAACAAATACACCCTAAGTGTTCTCATTGATTTTTTTCTACATATTTTCCCTCAAAAAATAACATATTATATACATTTTCTATTTTTATATTATCTACACAATTTTCTACTCATACATAAAAAAATATTTTTAAATTATTTTACAAAATGAACTCATTGTTGTATCCAAAATATATTTTTATTTAAAATTGATAAATATCTATCCTTCTGTCCGAAAAAAAAAGATATACAGATTTAGTTGGTCTCGAAAATTAAAAAAAAAAATAAAATAAAGTATTTTAATATTAAATTAGTTAAGTAAAAGTAAAGTGAAAGTATTACAAAATATTTATTAATTAATTGATAAAAAATAGTTAAGTAAATAAATAATAATAATAATGGTAAATTAATTATTATTTGTTAAGTAAGAGTAATAAAACTATTGGTGAATAAAATTATTTATTATAAATAATTGTGCAATTTAGTGGATAAAAAAAATAGTGATATAATTTTGATTTATGTAAAAATATTTTATCTATAAATTTAATTTAAAATGAATATGCATATTTATATTTCTTATTATAGTATTACAACAAAAATATTAAATAAACAAATGTTATATATTTAAATTGATAAATAACTACTCCTTCCGTCCGAGGTAAGATGTACATTTTAGTTAGGGATACGTTATTTTATATGGTGTAATTTAATAGGTTAATAATAGTAATTATAATATTATCTTCGTCCAGCTCTAAAGGTATTATTTACTTTTTACGTATTGATATTTGAATATTACTTATTATATGAAAGCGTAGTACAAATTAAGAAAAAATGAGACAAATACTTCTATTAGTGTCTTATAATACTATTATAAAAATATTTGTACAAAAAAAATTATACAAATATAAGGATATTTTTAATGTTAAATACAATTTCGTAGAAAGTAAATAAAACTTTTAGATCCGGACGAATGGGGTATTATTTTATTATTTTTCCTATAAATAATTTTGTTGTTATTTTAAAAATAAAAATTATATAAATAAAAAAATTTAAAATAGGTATTTCAATATTTTAAACATTATATCTCAATAATATACTACATAATATGGATATTATTTTGTATAGTATAAAATTTTATATAATACAAATAAATAAATAAATAATATTTATTTATCTATAATTAACATAAATTAATTTATATATAAAAAAATAATAGTTTTAAATATAGACAAATTTTATTTTTTATTGAGAAGAAAAATAAAAATAAATAAGTTTTTTAATGATTTCATGTGTAAAAGATTTGAAATTTAATTAAATTGATTATACTTGTTAAATATGTTTAAGATGTTAAATTTACCAAAAATAGAAAAATTTCATCTTATATGAGACAGACTAAAAAAAAATAGTCAAATACTTGAAGTTTTAAAAATATTTGAATATAATATTTTTTTTAAAAAAGTAATTGTCGATAAATAGTACTCTCTCCATTGGGGATGTCAAATGGGAGTAGATTAGCCCCGGAGCCGCCCCGGACCCGGTCTTAATGGGACGGATTCGGGTCTAAAAAATTTTGTTCGGAGTGGGTTGTGGATTTTGAGTTTTAGATCCGACCGGGTTCGGGGCGGGTTACGGGTTTTATTATAAATCCGCTCCATCTCGAACCTGAACCCGGATATTTTAATAATTATTATAATTTGTTTATAGTTTTATACAATATAATTATAATATTATTTATTTATTATAATTAATTATAATTATAATTAAAATAGAACCTTAATTATAAATCAAATTTATTTTCGCATTTGTTTTCCTACAGTTCCTTTTATAATCGGGACTACTGTTGACCATCATCGGACTATTGTCAATATTGATTGTTCTTATTTTTTATAACTATAATTTTTTGGTACTTTGTCTTATGTTTTTTTTAATATTAAATTATTTTTAACAAAATTTTATTTTATTCATTTTTTTTAAAAAACGGATTTGTCGAGTTGGCTTCGAACCCGAAGGGTTCGGTGCGGAACGGGTCCTGAAGCCGGGTTGAAGCAGGGCGGGCGGGTCTTGAGTTTTAATATTTTCTAACGGGGCGGATCCCAGGGTCTGCAAAATCCGTCTCAAACCTGCCCCATTGACATCCCTACTCTCCGTCTCACTTTCCTTAGACACGGAGATTGATTTGTCTACATAATATATGTTTATTTGAGTTGAATATAAATTTTAATAAATATTTATATGAATTGATTGTGATTAAAAAAAATATGAATTCTTTTTATAAGTGTACGGTGAGTTAATAATACGAGATAAAAATTTTAATATATCGAGTATATAAATAATGATGAAATATTTATAAATAAGTGTAATATTGAAATATATAAATAAAAAAGTATGTAAAAGTTATTGCTTAAATGAAAATTGCATATTTTTTTGGACAAAACTAAAAATAAAAATAAACATAGATTTAATGGACATATGAAGTAGTATTTTAATATAAGAGTGGGTACGTAACAAGTAAATTAAAAGTTTTTATGAAAATTTTATAAAAAAATTAATAAAAATTAATTAAATAAGTAAAGAAAAAATGACAAATTATTTAGTATTTGTTAAAGTATAAATATTAAAAGAATAAGTAAATAAAATATCTTACTACTGTTTGTTTCCTATTGTAATATAATTTATTTTTAATGTGAAGAATATAGAATCGTATCGATAATATAAAATATATTTTCTTCGCCTCATATCTATATATTCATTTGTTTTTTGTACGGAGTTTTAAAAATATTAATATTATATTGGAATAAAGTAGAAATAAAGGTAAAAATACTAAATTAACCATATTAGTATTGTATGATATAAAAGTAATAACATTTGTGTAATATATTGTAAATTGAAATGATATTTGTAATATTAGGTTGATAGTATAATTACTAAAAAATGAAATAAATACTTTGTTATGAGACGTACTAAAATGAAAAAATGGATAGATTATTAAGGGACGAAGGGAGTAATATTTTATATTTAATTTTAATTTTTGTAAGATGATAAAATATATATTGAGAATCATTTAGAAGAAAAATTCTTAGGTAAACAAACCCAAATTTAAATTTAACATATAACTAAAAGAAATTATATAAGTATTCCAAGTGGGAAGAAACAACAAAAGTTTCAAAATATGTATAAACATTATTTACTACAAGTAAAATTGTGTAAAGAATTATTTATTATAAATAAAAATTACATATTTTTTAAATAATAAAATAAGCATAAGTTTTATGAGCAAAATAAATTAATATTTTAATATAAAAATGAAAAAGACAAAACGTAGTAAAACAATTAGTACTCTCTCGGTCCCGGAAGTAAGTATTCATTTGTTTTTTGTACGTAGTTTTAGAAATATTAGTATTATATTGAGATGTAGTAAGAATAAAGTAGAAATGACTAAAATAACCTTATTAGTACGTGTGATATAAAGGTAATGACATTTGTGTAATATATTGTAAGTTGTAAGGGTATTTGTAATGCTAGGTAGATAGTACAGTTACTAAAATAGAAAATAGATACTTTGTTATGAGACTGACTAAAATGAAAAAATGGATACTTTGTTATGGGACCGAGAGAGTATAATTTTTATTAAAAAATTAATAAAAAAAATAATTGAGTAGGTAAAAATTATAATTTTAAGTTAATTATTATTTATTAAAATATAAAAATAAAATAATAAATAAATAAATTCTCTTTTTATAAATAAATTATATATTTTTTTACCAGTACTATTTTTTTACTATTTTAGTTTACCTTATTCAAAAATATTTATTTTTTAAAAAAAGTAATTATATATTAATACCAAATTATTCTTAATTTTTATTTAAATTACAGATATATCACTACACATATAATTACTTTATATATAAAGTCAAATAACAAAAATATCAAAATCTCTTGTACACATTCACTAACACATATAATATTACTCTCTTCATTCCACCATATATGATTCATTTTCCTTTTTTGTTCATCCAAAAGAAAGATATAGACATAAGTGGGAGGGACGAAAATGAAAATATAGACATAATAAGTGAGACGGAGAGAGTACTACACAAATATAATTACTTTGATACTATACAATACTAATAAAAATAATTTTGTCTTTTTCATTACAAATTAATATAATACTAATATTAAAAAATTTATATACAAAAAATAAACTACAACCTAATACTCCCTCCGTCCCAAATACGGTGTCTGCTACACTGTAGACACGGTATTTTAGGAGTGGTGTAATTAGTAAATAATTAAGAATGTATTAGTGAAAATAATTATCCTATAATATAAATAATTATAAATTAAGATTAAAATAACTAATTAGTTTAATTAAAATTTTAAAAAAAATTAAAAAATTTAAAATAAAATTAAAGTGTGTAATCATTTTCCAAAAAAGGAAAGTGACATGGTATTTGGAACGGACAGAAACGGCAACATTGACATGGTATCTGGGACGGAGGGAGTATAATACTAATACAACTTTTGTCCCATAAAAAGAGTACAATTGATTTTCTGCGTGTTAATCTTTAAATATTAATTTTTTTTTATCAATATGTAATACAAAATCAAGAGAAAATGACAAAAATATTTCTATTAATCTCTTATAATACAAATACAATGATATTTGTAGAGGAAATTATATAAATATAAATATATTTCTAATATTAAGTACAATAACACAAAAAATAAATTGTACTGAGACAAAAATAATATTAAAAAATTTACGTAAAAAAAAATAAGCG